AGCTCTCTGCTGTGGCCGGGGAGGCAGGGGAGGATGGCCCAAGTGCTTGGGCCCTGCACCTGGCTCCTGGCTTCGGATCAGCGCGATGCACCGGCCACAGCGCGCCGGCCGCGCCGGCCATTGGAGGGTAAACCAACGGCAAAAGGGAGACCTTTCTCTCTGTCTGTCCACTCTGCCTGTCAAAAAAAAAAAAGTAATCTATAACTGAAATGCAAATTCAACCTATTAGGATATGTAAGAGCACACAACAACAAAACTATGGATATGAAACAGCCTTACAGCACCAAGCCTGAGAGGATACTAGATACTTGGGACATTCAGAGATTACTGTTGGAATTAACATGTGGTATAACCTAAATGGAAGTCAGCTTGATGGGATGTACTAAAATTGAAGACATGGATATCAGGTATCCCAGATATTCCACTCACAAGTATACACTCAAAGAATGACACACATGTACCAACACACACACATACCCCCAAACATCTGACAACAGATGAGTACATAAAATATAGAGTAGGTGTTGTGGCACAGTGGCTAAAGACACTGCTTGGGACACTCATATCCCATATGTGAGCACCTGGGATCAAGCCCCACCTCTGCTTCTAATCCAGCTTCCTGCCAGTGCACATCCTGGCAGGCAGTAGATGACGACTCAGGCACTTGGGGTTCTCACCACTCATGCAGGAGACCTGGACGAAGTTCCTGGCTTCATCCTGGCCCAGCATCAGCTGATGTGGGCATTTGAGGATGGAAGATATGTATGTATGTATGCATCTATCTCTATCATTGTCAGCCTTTCAAATAAACTTTTTTTTAGATGTGGTATTTTGTAAATACAAATAAATATTACTTAGTCTTTAAAAAGAAATCTTGGGGACCACTGCCTGCAGTGCCGGCATCTCATATGGGTGCTGATTCAAGTCTTGGCTGCTCCTCTTCTGATACAGCTCTCTGCTATGGCCTGGGAAAGCAGTAGAAGATGGCCCAAGTCCTTGGGCCCCTGCATCTGTGTGGCCTGGCTTTGGGTAGACAAAGCTCCAGCCATTGCGGCCATCTGGGGTGTGAACCAGCAGATAGAAGACCTCTCTCTCTGCCTCTGCCTCTCTGTGGCTCTGCCTTTCAAATAAATAAATAAATCTTTTAAACAGAAAAAAAATCTTGTCCAATGCTACACATGTCTGAACTCTGAGGACATTATATTAAGTTAAATAAGCCAGTTATAAAAAAGAAAAATAACAGAGCTGTGATTGTGGCATAGCAGGTAAAGCAGCCGCCTGCGAATATGGATGCTGGTTCATATCCTGACTGTTCCATTTCTGATCCAGCTTTCTGCTAATGGCCTAGGAAAAGCAGCAGAGGATGGCCCAAGTGTTTGGGTCCCTGTTTCCCACATGGGAGACTGGATGAAGCTTCTGGGCTCCTGGCTTCAGCTTGGCCCTGTCCTGGCCATTGCAGGCATCTGGAGAATGAACCAACATGGAAGATTTCTGTCTCTCCCTCCCTCTGTGTAACTCTAGCCTCTGTAACTCTTTCAAATAAATTTTAAAAGCACTTTTAAAAATTATATAAGTAAAAGAAAATAATATATAATTCCACTTACAGAGGGAAGGGGAAAATTGGGAATTCTTCTACAGTGGGGACAGAATATTCTTTTTGCAAGATGAAAAAGCCCTGGGGGTCTGTGCACAACAATGTGAATGAGCAGGACACGACGTCATCCATGAACACGCTTAAATGTGGAAAGACAATGATTTTATACTATGTGATTTGTAGACACACACGTATTAATTACTACTGCAGCATGATTCCTAATGGCAAAATACTGGCCATTCTTTCAAACAGCAGATTGGATAAAGAATGCATAACTTCAGATGATGGGGCACCTTGCAATAATGAAAATGAACCAACGTCAGCTACCTAAAAATCGAGAATCTCATAAATATAATTGAAAACAAAATAAAAGGCCGCACAGCGTATCATTTGATTTCTATGAGGCATGTCCAGATAAAATATTTTAGTCAGATATCCATACGTGTGTGGTTAAAAATATATAAAGAAAATTAAAGGAATAGTCACAGTAATGACTTCCTTTAAAGGAGGAGGGACAGGAATGTTGGATAGAGGCAAAAGAGGAAATTTGTACAGATACACACACACACACACACATACATACATGTGCGTGTGTATGTGTGTGTGTGTATGCCAGTGCTGTTGCACAGCAGGTAAAGCCACCATCTGCGGTGCCGGCATCCCATATGGGGGATGATTTGAGTCCGGGCTGTTCTACTTCCAATTCAGATCTCTGTTATGGCTTGGGAAAGCAATAGAAGATGGTCTAAGTCTTTGGGCCCCTATAACCATGTGAGAGACCCGGAAGAAGCTCCTGGCTCCTGGCTTCATATCAGCCCAGCTCCAGCCATTGCAGCCATTTGGTGAGTGAACCAGTGGATGGAAGACACCTTTCAATCTCACAATCTCTCTCTCCATCTCTCTCTCCATCTCTCTCTCCATCTCTCTCTCCATCTCTCTCCACCCCTGCCTCTGTAACTCTGCCTTTCAAATAATTTTTTAAAAAGATATAATATATATATAATGCTACATATTGATATGTTTGATAGGTAAGAGTAAGGCAAACATTTTATTATCATTCTTTAGATAACACAAATAGAGCATGCTCTATAGCCTCATAGATAAATAAAGATATCCATAGGTTTCCAGAGTGACCTGTTGTTTCTGTAGATGCTGAACTCTCGTCATGTTTCTGCATCATGGGGCCATGAAGCAAAAATAATTCTTCTGCTACATGACTTTTGAAGGTCATGACTGTAACTGCCTGTTTTATTACTTTATCTTGTATCACAAACATATTGTATCTCATGCACAAGGATTGCTAACTAGAAACTGTGAGCACCACGAGCTCAGTGTTCCCAAAGGAAATGAAGAAGCCAGCCTGCACCTCAACGTGGGAAAAGCCTGGTGCTGGCCGCGTGAATTCCAGCAGGGATCGCCCTCCCTGCATCAGTGCTGCTCCACACCAGCGGCGCTCTGGGGGTCACAGTCCAGAGGGCACCGAGGCCAGGCTGAATAATCGCCCCATCTTTAACTAGGAGGTCTGGGACTGGCTCCCAGGAGACCCCGTGAATGCAATCTCGGCAGCTGCTCGTGGCCACTCCTCTACTTCAGGGCGAGCACCTCAAGCCCTGCACCGTCAGCGGCAGAAGGGAAGGACTGTGGGGTCCTAACCGCATCTTCCTGGAGACAAATATGCAGAGGGCACCACGTCTGCATGATGGCGTCACCCAGCACCTCCAGGTAAGAACCGGGGCACGAGAATGGAACGAGGGCACAGCCAGCTGAGGTCTGTGTGAGCACACACACACACCCACCCTCTTCCCCACACACACCCCACAGAGCATCTCCCTTTCTACCTCCCCTCCCTTTCCCCTTCTCCCTCTCTGCCAATCATTTTCAGGCCCTTCTGGTCAACATGAGGGGTTTCTACACTCAGTGTCCATCAGGGACCGGATGGCCCAAACTGTGCTCATTGGGCACAATGGACTTCAGACCCCTCATCCCTAAGACCAATGGGGTCAGGACACCGGACTTGCGCAAAAGCAAAATCTGTGGCAATGAGAGCCTTGCGGCCCAAAGAGCGCCGTGTCAGTGAGGACATATCATTGTCATCATCCTCCTCACCTCCAACCACAGAATCAGTGATAACATCACATCCCGAGGCATCACCCCCAGAATCACTCTATCACACTGTTAGTACCATACATTTACCAAATGGACTCACATCATATCTTTCCAAAAAAATTTTTAAACACTGAGTAACTGCATAAAAGCTACTTCTTCCACCCCATTATGATATTGGGCTCTGCATGATTAAACTATTGAATCAGGCTGCACATAGTTTCCAAAATTGCTTTGCCATTGATGGATCTCAGTTCAGTCATAACCACCTCCAAACACGGAAGGTGATAACAGGTTTTCATGTCCCACCTCACCACTCACAACATCCTCTGTTGTCAGGTAACAACAAGGTTCAAAGATATGGGACTAAGCACCTTCATCTTATTAACCACCAGCACAACAGGTAGTATTTATTGAGCGTCGACTATGTGCCAGCCTTTGTCTAAGTATTTTATTATCATTATGTAATTTCATCCTCGGAACCACTGTATGCATTGTGCTCAATAATTATTCACTTAAACACATGTGGAAACAGTGCCAGTAAGGTAAGGGGACTTTCTCAAAGGCACACACAGAGTAAAGAGTAGCAACTCCTGTTGCCTCCCAGAAGACACAGTGTATTCTTAGTCAACACAACAAACAAGGGTTGACATAGCACATCTTGTCCCTGACTGCCCACTGCAATTGCTCCTCCTCACCACCAAGCAGGAATTCTCGAATTCCCCACTGTGTGCGTTATGACTCAAAGTAGTTCAACTGATTCCAGCACTTGTCCTTTTGGCACGTGGCTCACCTCAGGTCATTCGCTGCATCTATTTTTAAAAATAAAAGCATTGTTCAAAAGGAGAGAATATTTCCAAGAGTGAGAAGCAGAGCTGCAGAGCCTGTTAAACACTGGGTCCCGAGCTCCCGTTCCATCAGCTGCTGCTTTGCTAAGAGTGATAATCACCAGCCTTGTGGAAGGCTCCTCTTCCAGATGTGCTACTTCAGTGGTAACAGCAGCAACTCTGGAAAGCAGTGCATGCCGTGCAGACCAGCATCCTCAGCTGCAGGGAGGAGAGAGGAACTGACTAAGGCCCAGCAAAACATGAGCCACAGAGAAGGGTCACAGCCAGCCTCTAGACACGAAGGATGTGATCGTGAAACCAATGGCACTGTTGATGTGTTTTATGACAAAAATGAAAACAATGTGCCCTCTGCTGACAAAGACTTTCCCATTTACAAAGTTCTCAGGTCCACATTCAGCCATCGGAAAGATCTTCTAAGTCAAACAGGAAGCAAGCTCTCAGTACATGTACAGACTCTCGGTCTCAGCTGGCTCCCTGGAAGAAATTAGTCCTTCTTCCATTTCCCTCAGCAAAGACACACACACACAGAGAGAGAGAGAGAGAGAGAGAGAGAGAGAGAGAGAGAGAGAGCGTGAGCTTCTTCTATTACCTATTACATCCTAATAAAGGAAAGACACAAAAATAAGCTCTATAATGCAAAAAAAGATCAAGGAGGTTTCTGTAAAGTTGTAAAAGAATTAAAAGTTGGAGGGGTTCATACAGCTGAAAGCCATTTCAGCCTCACGCAGGCACACGTGGGACATCTCGCCGTGTGACAGGATCTGGAAACCAAGCCGCACCCCATCACAAGGGCTGATTGTCACGGCCCACAGCCCTCGTGGCTTCCGTGCGTGCACACCTCCCATTAGTGCACCTGCTCAATCTCAACACTTCTCAAGCAGCACAGGAAACTTTACCAAAGTCTTGGACTCTGGGACATCTCGAGTTCACCATTACTGATTAAGATTCTCCTCTCATTTCTTCACCTTAGAAAGAAACTAGAAACCACACCATCCTCTCTGGCTTCCTGCTCCTGGGCTTCTCCGAGCACCCACAGCAGCGGCCTCTTCTCTTGGGGCTCTTCCTAGTCATGTACCTGGTCACTGTGCTGGGAAACCTGCTCATCATCCTGGCCATTGGCTCGCACCCTCACCTCCACACCCCCATGTACTTCTTCCTGGCCAACCTCTCCTTCGTCGATACCTGCTTCACCTGCACCATTGTCCCCAAGGGGCTGGTGGACATCCACACGCAGGATCACAGCATCTCCTACACTGGGTGCCTCATTCAGATGTACTTCTTCATGGTGTGGGCCCTGCTGGATGACTTCCTGCTGGCCGTGATGGCTTACGACCGCTACGTGGCCATCTGCCTTCCTCTCCACTACACCACGGTCATGGGTCCCCGTCGCTGCCTGCTGCTGGTGGCCGCATCCTGGCTCTGCTCCAACATGCTGGCCTCTTCACTCACACTCCTGATGGCTCACATCTCCTTCTGTGCCTCTCATTCCATCCCACACTTCTTCTGTGACGTCCTCCCACTCCTCAAGCTGGCCTGTTCGGACACCCAGACCTTTCACATCATCATGTTCTCTGAAGCTGCCCTCTCAGGCGTGGTCCCTCTCACCTGTGTCCTGCTCTCCTATGCCCACATCGTGCACACAGTCCTCAGGATCCCCTCTGCTGGAGGGAAGCACAAAGTCTTCTCCACCTGCAGCTCCCACCTGACAGTGGTCACTCTCTTCTACGGAACAGTCTTCCTGGTGTATTTCCAGCCCTCGTCCTCCTACTCAGCAGGCACTGGAATGGTGGCATCCGTGGTGTACACAGTGGTCACCCCCATGCTGAATCCCTTTATCTACAGCCTGAGGAACAAGGATATGAAGCAGGCTTTGGGGAGACTCCTTGGTTTGAGAAAAATGCTCTTCTTGGTAAGGACACATCCCTGGGCTCTGTGAATGCCCTTCTAAATGGATTTCTTCATTACAATTTTAGAGGAGCTCAGATTCAAGGCTGAATGGATGCTCAGTATTATAAGCAGGTTTAACCAAGTGAAGTGTGTCTGACTTGGCAGGACTGGAGTAGGAGCAACTGGCCAAGGACTGCATTGCAGCCTGGAGGGAGGGAGTGGTGAGCAGTGCCTACAGGTTCTAACAGCAAAATGCACTCAACTCATTTACACTAGTGGATGAAACTTTATTCCAGGCTACTGCGATAGAGGGCAAAGCACAGAACTCAGTCTGAACTTGAGTGCACTGAACTCAGTCTGAACTTGAGTCTGCTGAAACTAAAGACGAGGATTTTAAAGTGCTGGGGAGAGGAGAACATCTGTCTTGCTAATTGCTTTTACAAAAAAAGAAAAATAACACATCTCACGCTTTAAGATGAGAGGTTGCTTTGCAACATGGAACAAAGCAAAGTCTGCTTGAATTGGACTACTGCCCACCTGCACTCCAGAGCCTGGGAGCCAGGTACACCACCGCTGATGAGTCCATGTCAAATGGATGCTTCTCAAATCCTTGAGAAAGACACTGCTGGGTTGCAAAGTGAGCAAGAAAACATTTTTGAAAGAGGTACAGAAAGACTTCATAAGCACACATTTGCCACAGTAAATTCTGTAAGCAAAGGGAGGTCAGGGCAGGGAGTCAGGAGGAAGCCTATGTAAAGTCCAGAGAAGCACCAAGCCCACCTCGGGCAGGGGTGACCCGGTAAGTAGGTACAGATGGAGAGATGACCAAACACATTCCAACCAAACAGTGGGATCCACCCAAGGAATGGCATCAGACAAGACTTGGGTCCTGGGAGGAAGCCCGGTCAGGAGCTCAGTCTAGGACTCAGGGGCCCCACCCAACCACAAGAAATGCTTACAGGATGCAGAAGGGTCCAGTGCTCTGAGTTCCAGGGACCATGTCCAATCCCAGCTTGGGAAGCAACTCACTCGTAGGGATTTAATCTCTCCAGAGAGAAAGCTGAACCAAGAAGACAGGCTATTTTCTGGGACTAAGGAGGCATTAACAATTTGGGAAGAAGAAATAAGGCACAAATAAATGAAGGAATGGCCCCAAATCACCCAAGTGGGTTTAGCTCTAATGACTCTGACAGTAATTGTTAGTTTTTAGACGAGTCTTTGAATCTTTGGATGTTTAAATTTTATTTTTATAAGGTTAAAAAATTTCATGTATTTCACATATTCAGATTTAAGAGTATAATGATACTCCCCCCATTCTCCCTCCTGAATCTTCGATTTTTTTTAATCATTTCTCTTACATGCCTCCTTGCAAAATAACGTTATGGTAAGAATATAAAATGTAAAGAACTAGGAAAAATAATGTAATCACTCATCATGCCTTCACTTAAAGACTATCACTGTAAATATTTTAAATCATTACTGCTCTGTATTTTTCAAATTGTTTTAGCTTTTCCTTTGATGAGAAATCCTATACCCATAACCCTACACGTATTTCTTCACTTAGCCTACGACCAGGTTGTCTCCATCTGACTTGCTGTATTTGCTGCTGTTCTGTTTCATTTGTTTTTGTCTCCCGATATTGAGGGAACATGGTGTGCAGTACGACCGCTTTCTTGACAAAAGGTGTAGGAGATTCCGCTTAGTTTGCAAGGTGGATGAAGAATCAGAAATCGAGAAGTGGTGTGAGAAGGGGCAAGGAGAATGCTGGGAGAGCGGGACTGGATGTGGGCTCCCTCCCTGTTACGGTCTTCTGAGTCGCAGGTAGGCAGGGCTCCCTGGGAATGAAGGTGCCACTCTCTGGAGTGGTTGGAACGAGCTCAGGTAGCAGTAAGTGCCTACATGAGAATCAAACAATAGCAGCAGGGTTCTTCATTGAGTTACATTGCTGTTTTGTGTTTAAATATTGTCTGCTTTGTTTTGCTGATATTTCCAGTTCATCTTCATCCTTTGTGACTTTTTTATCTGAGTAAGTTTTCTAGGTACATATTTCTAGGTACAAGCTTTCTAGGCCCAAAGGCTTCCCTGTCAGTGGCCTTCTCTGCTCATTGGTACAATGAGAAAATTCTTCTCAGCCAGAAGTTCTAGAAATACTGAACTCCCCCCCACCCCGCCCCATTTTCTCATTGTGTTTTATTTCTTAGTGAGAATATGTTATTTTATGGGGGAAAAAATCAAACCGTTTACAACGAGTTCTCTTCTGAGTGCCAATGCTGTGGCGCAGCACATTAAGCTGCCACCTGCGATGCAGGAATCCCTCATCAGAGTGGCAGTTTGAGTCCCAGCTGCTCTGCTTTCCAACTCAGCCTCCTGACCATGGGCCTAGGAAGGCAGCGGATGATGGCTCAATGATGGCTCAAGCACTTGGGGTCCTGCCGCCTGTGTAGGAGACCCACAGATGGACTCCCTAGCTCTGGCTTCAGCGTGTCCCAGCCTTGGCCACTGCAGGGGAAGCCTCAGATGGCAGATCTCTCCCTCTTTTTCTGTCACTCTGCTTTTCAAATAAATAAATAAATTTTATAAATTTATCTTTGGGCATCTATTTTTATGAAATGAGTATCCCAAAAAGATATCTGTGCCTGTATTCACTGTAGCATTATTCACAATAGCCAAGAAATTGAGTCAGCCTAGGTGTCTGTTAACAGATAATAGATAAGGGGGTGGCGCTGTGGCACAGCAAGTTAAAGCCCTGGCCTGAAAAGGCAGCATCCCATATGGGTGCCAGTTCTAGTCCCAGCTACTCCACTTCCGATCCAGCTCTCTGCTACGGCCTGGGAAAGAAGTAGAAGATGGCCTAGGTCCTTGAGCCCCTGCACCCACATGGGAGACCTGGAAGAAGCTCCTGGCTCCTGACTTTGGATTGACTCAGCTCCGGCCATTGCAGCCATCTGGGGAGTGAACCAGCAGATGGAAGACCTCTCTCTCTCTACCTCTCTCTGAAACTCTTTCAAATAAATAAAAAATAGATCTTTTTAAAAAATAGATAATAGATAAATGTTAACAGATAAATGATAAAGAAAATGTATATATGTATATATATTCAAAATGGAATATTAATCAGTCTCTGGGGAAAAAAAGAAGAAATCTTGCCATTTGTGACAACATGAATTAAGCTGAAGGACATTATGTTAAGTGAAATAAGCCAGCCCCAGAAAGACAAAAATACTGTATGAAGCCAGTTAAATGTGAAACCTAAAAAATATTGTTATCACAGAAGCAGATAATGAAAGGGTGACTTTCAGGGTCTGATGTGCGGGAGAACTGGAGAGATGTAGAAATTTTTAGTTATGAGATGAATATATTCAGGGGATTTAATGTATTTCTTGATGACTACAGTTAATAGGATCATTTACTTAAAATGTATTTAAAGATCTTATGTGTATATACAACACACACTCACACTAGTAACTGATATGATTCAGATGCACTGGTTAATTTGATGATGGTAGTCACTACACAAAGTAAAAGTGTATCAGGGCCAGTATTGTGGCACAGCAGGTAAAGCCGCCACCTATGACGCCGGCATCCCATAGGGGCACTGGTTCAAGTCCAGCTGCTCCACTTCTGATCCAGCTCCCTCCTAATGGCCCTGGAAGAGCAGCAGAACAAGGCCCAAGAGTTTGGGGCTCCATCACCCACGTACATGGGAGACCTGGATGAAGCACATGGCTCCTGGCTTTGGCTTGGCCCAGCTCCAGCTGTTGTAGCCATCTGGGGAGTAAACCAGTGAATGGAAGATCTATGTCTCCGCCTCCCTTCCTAACTCCACTTTTCAAATAAATAAATCATTTTTTCAAGAAGTATATCAAATCATTAGACTGGACACCTTGAATCAATTTTTACTTATCAGTTTTACCACCCATAAAGCTAGAAAAATAAATACAAAAACACAATGTTTCTTATAAAAAATATATCTAAGGACAGATATTTTGTGTAGTAGTTAATATGTCATTTTGGATGCCAGCATCTCATAACAGGGCACCAGGATTTCAGTTCCAGCTCTGCTTCTGACCAGCTTCCAGCTAATGCACACCATGGGAGTCAACAAGCAATGGCTCAACTACTTAGGTTCCTGCCACTCAGGTGGGATATACTGATTGGAGTCCTAGCTCCTGACTTCATCCTGGCACAGACTCAGCTGCGGGTAGTCTCCCCCCCCCCACCTTCTCTGGGGGTCGGGAGATTTTCAAATAAATTAAACAAATTTTTCAAAAAAAATCATCTAACAAAACATTTACTAGAAACTAGAGAAAAAAGAACAGAATGTCTATAAGTTGTAAGTTTCTGAGAACCTCTTCTCTGAATGGTTTCAGTCTGTTCAACTCAATTCAAAAAAATCAAGAAGTATGTATGTGTGTGCACATGCGGTACAGCAAGAGACATACAAATTTGAAAGTATAAAAGGCTTCAAAAGAGGAAATCCAAAGGGCCAACAGACACATAAAAAAATGTTCAAGATCACTAGCAATCAGGGAAATGCAAATCAAAACCACAATGAGGTTTCACCTCACCCCGGTTAGAATGGCTCAATTCAGAAATCCACCAACAATAGATGCTGGTGATGATGTGGGGGAAAAGGGCCACTAACCCACTGTTGGTGGGAATGCAAACTGGTTAAGCCACTATGAAAGTCAGTCTGGAGATTCCTCAGAAACCTGAATATAACCCTACCATACAACCCAGCCATCCCACTCCTTGGAATTTACCCAAAGGAAATTAAATTGGCAAACAAAAAGCTGTCTGCACCTTCATGTTTATTGCAGTTCAATTCACAATCGCTAAGACCTGTACAACCCAAATGCCCATCAACAGTAGACTGGATAAAGAAATTATGGGACATGTACTCTATGGAATACTCTACTGCACTCAAAAACACTGAAACCCGGTCATTTGCAACAAGATGGAGGAATCTGGAAAACATTATGCTGAGTGAATTAAGCCAGTCCCAAAGGGACAAATATCATATGTTCTCCCTGATCGGTGACAACTAACTGAGCACCAAAGGGGAAACCTGTTGAAGTAAAATGGACACTATGAGAAACAGTGACTTGATCAGCTCTTGTCCTGACTGTTGATGTACAATGTAATACTTTATCCATTTTAGTATTTTTTGTT